CGGAAGGGGGACGTGCGGCCTGGGTGCAGCCTCCTGGCTGGAGTGGGGATGGTAACTGCCCCGTCCGGAGGTGGGGGGGCGAGCTTCTGCAAGGGCGGAGGCGTGAGGTACCGTCAGGTCCTTTCGCTTCGGGGCAATATCCCTGCCCTGGGCACGTCCCAGGGGCTCTGCAAGAAACGGTCAAGACGAGCCAAAGGAGAGGGCTAGGTTTTAAGAGCAAGTTTTGTCTTGGCCTGAGCCAAGACCAAGCTTTGGCCTGAGCTGGCCAAGCGCAAGAGAGCAGAAGCCCGTGTTGCCCCATTTCGTGTGGCACAAAAACAACACGGTCCCCTCCCTTCCAGGCTACAGGACAGCTGGGAGTGCTCATGGATGTCCCCGCAGCCAGGCCAAGAGTGGGACACGTGGCCAGCAGGCCCCAGCGCTGCCCAGAAGCAGGTGAATTTTCCATGAGTGACCTCAAGAAGAAGCACCTGGCAATGTTTTCAGTATGCTGAAACTGGGTGCCACTGGTGGTCTTGCACTTACCTTACAAGTTGGAGTCATATGCTGCATTGGTGAAGACGCCTGGTGATCCCAGGTCACTAGATAACAAACACAAGAGTGTAAACTTGGGGTAAAAAGAAATGGGAAAACTCACGTTTGCGTGATGAAAGTGCTCATGTCTCTATAACAGAGATCGCTGTTTTTCCCAAGGGGCTGCATAGTGTCCTATGCTACAAAAGAATTGCAGGATTTTGGAGAACATCAGTTAGCAGAGCCTCGTTAGCCCCTTAATAAGCTCCACTGCATGTAAAAGCAGCTCCATGCTTGCAGATGTGGGTGATGGTGATAGCAGGGTGACCACAGGGACAAGGTCCACCCTCTCTGCAGGGCGCAGCACAGGTCAGAGTGACTCTCTTGCAGAGCGCAGTTCTCACCTGGTGGGATTCAGGAGCTTCTTCTTCTCCTCTGATAATGGTGTTGAAACGTCCATGGGATGGTGCAGATACAAAAGAAAGAACAAGATCTTGTTAGCGAAGGACATGAAAAGCAGACAGCATCTGACAGATTGAACTGAGTTTGACAAGCATGGGACTTGGGGGGAAGGCTGTAGCCAATGCCTGCCTCAGATGTTCTGACTTTAGCCTCCAAATCTGGCTGCTGACACTTTCAGCTGGGTGAACTGCCAGGGAGGTACTTCTGGACCAAGTGACCCACAGCAATATGACGTATGGAGTGAGAGAGTTGTGTTTTTAAGCTCCTCCGACCCATCTGCGCTCCCCTGAGACTCCATAACCACTTTGTGTGAAAGTCCCTAGCCAAAACCACTGCTGGCTGTAGCAGGCAGTTCTGTACCTCTGTCACTGAGCCGCTTGACTAGGAGGGCGATAAGCGTCCCGGAGAGCACAATGCCTACTGCCACCAGAGCAGTGCTGCCGCTGTAAACCAGCACTTCCTTCAAGAAGGAGGTGGCATCCTCTGAAACATGCACAAACTCACACGTTAGAAAAAGTTATCAGAAAGCCTTCATGGAGCCAAAGCTGCTGGGGTGCCCACCACTGCAGATATGTGCCCTGAACCCCTTTCTCAGGGAGAGGGGACAGAGCCCTGCAGAGAGGAAAGGGCTGCAGCCCCCCAGCAGAGAAGCGGTGGCAGAGCACAAGCCCTGCGGTACCTGCACAGACCGGGGGACGTCTGGTCCAGTTCCCCGTGGCCGCACACCGGAGCACCTCTGCTCCCATCCGAACAAATCCTGCCTCGCAGGAGAAGGCGCACGTGGAGCTGTATGTGAAGTTCCCATGCAAGTGAGAGCAGCTTAATTGGCCTCTGCTGGGAGCGTCTAGTACTGGGCAGCTGACAGCTGGCGGGCAAAGCACAACAGGGGGATTAATAAGATGGGGCCATTGGCAGTGGCAGGAAGGGATGAGGGTATTTGGGCTGGGGAGCCAGGGGACAGGCAGCCACGAGCTGGCTGTGCTGAGGGGAAGGGGATCCTGAGGAAAGTTAAGGGAAAGCGGCAGGCACCACTCAGGCTATGGTGTGACAGGGCAGAGTGCCAGAAACACCAGTTTCCAAGAGACTTGAAAGAGAGAAGAAGATTTCAGAGGGTCAGCACCCCAGAGTGTGGTGCATCCCCTGTAAATACCCCTGTTGGAAGCATAACAGAAAGCATCAGGATGAGAGAAGAGATGGAGGGGGCACATCATTGCCTCATTTCACAACTCCTTCCAACTGTCTCTGGCTTGAGCACTCATCATTCAGCCTCCTCTTTGACAAAAAAATGCTCCTCCACAACAGTGGAGAGAGCCTGGGGCCTGCAGGGAGGATGTCTCTTCACAAGGATACCTGATCCAGACATAAATAAGATGAGCCTCTACCTTCACATCGTGGGGATTGCCCAGTCCATTCCCCCACGGCCGTGCACTCGCGGCTCTGCGGCCCCGTCAGCACAAACCCCGTCTGGCAGGAGAAGGCGCACGTGGAGCCGAAGGTGAAGTTGCCATGGAGGTGGGAGCAGCTGAGCTCTCCCCAGTTTGGAGCGCTGAGCACCGGGCACACGACAGCTGTAATGGGAGAGCAGGTCTCAGAGGCAGGACTGTGGCCACGCTGGCAGCAGCCTGTCCTCAACACCAGCTGTGCCACCTGGGTCAAGGTGATGGGCTCCCTGCCAGGGCGTCCTCTGTGGGGACAGCAGTCCTGAGGGTTTTAGACCTGGGCAGGCAGGTGTAGGTGGACCTGATCCCCTCTGCTCAGTGCTGCAGGGTTGTTTGTGGGGGATGCACTGTATGTGCTATGCCAGCTATGGGCTGTGAGCAGTGCAGGCTTTGCTGGGACTGAAGGGTGCCACAGCAAGGTGGAGCACAGTGGCGAGGCTGGACTTGCGGCACCAGGCAGAGATGGGCTAGCAACTTCAGCTGCAAGGGTTGCATGCAGGCATAGAAACACAGCAGGAAAACTGGAAGTGCTGGTGTGGGAAGGGACAGGGGAAGGGACTATGGGGTTGTGTGCCACCTACGTGATCCAGCAGAGGGGTCTGCCAGTGAAGGGGGCTGGTCAAGAGCTGCTAGTTGGTGCTGGTGGCTGGGAGGGGGTCCTTGGCTGGACCTCAGGAAGGCGCAGGAGGGCCAATTTCCCCAACAAGAGAGGAGTACCAGCAAGCAAAGCTGCATGCAAGCGGTGCCAGAAGGCCAGAGTTGAAGTAGAGGCAGAAGCACTTCCCTTGCTGGAAAGTACTAGGAGAGCCGGGGTGGGAGGGCATGGAGAGCTGGGCAAGGCATTCTCGTAGGACATGCTGGGTAAGGAGCAGGCAGCTGCTCACAGGGGTTTGTGCCTTGTACTTGGACGGGGAAGGGACCATCTCCACTTTAAACAGGAAGCCTAAGCTGCACAAAGAGCAGGCTTTCCATCCCACCCTGCTTCAGCTCGCAGAGCAGTTACCCAGAACAGCCCTGCTCCCAGCACCCACTGGCACTGTGGGTTGTGCAAGGGAGCCTATTGGCATTTCCCTAGGCAAACTACACCCTCCAGCAACATCCCCAGTGCTGGCCAGCTGTGGCCACTTGGATCCAAATTACAGCTGAGCAGAGTACCAGACCAAGCAGAAGCCACAGATAGGGGTACGGTTTCCTTTAGTGACAGAGAACAAGGTGTACACATGCAGCAATACTAAATGCCAGAGTGATTTGTTCTGTAAAGCTGACTCTGGAATAAGGCACTAGTATGATAGGTGGCTTTCATTGGGGACACGCATATGCAATCCAGAGACAGCTCTGCCCAAGCTGCCAGAGGTGGCAGCTTCCACCTATTTTTACACATTCCTGTGCACAGTCAAGTTACGTGCCCCCTCTGTGGTGGCTGTCAAATGCTGCACCAGAAGGTTCCCCATTTTTCTTACTGTCCTTCAAGACCACAGGTATCTCCTCCTAGAGGAGACTGAGTTTTCTGACAGCATAACTAGTGGCTTCAGCAGCACAGTGAAGCTGTGCATACAGCCCTGTTTGTCACTGGTTTTGCTGTGCCCTAAGACGAGTTCCTCGCCAGGGTGCAATGCAAGTGATCACTAGGTGTGTGCCCACCTGTGCTGATAGCTCTGGGACCTCTGCTACCATCACATGCCTTCAAGACCTTGTCTATCACACTTGAGCCATTCCTTCCACACATGCTCTTATTCTGGGGTCACTACACAGCATTGGTTTCCTAGAGGAATGTGTCTATAAGCTTTCTCAGCTACTCGGTAGTAAAATCAGATGATAACAATTCAAGCAGCAGTTAACAGTTAACTGAGTTCGGTCTCCCACAAATTGCAAGAAGGGAGCCTCTACCTTCACATCGTGGGGATTGCCCAGTCCATTCCCCCACGGCCGTGCACTCGCGGCTCTGCGGCCCCGTCAGCACAAACCCCGTCTGGCAGGAGAAGGCGCACGTGGAGCCGAAGGTGAAGTTGCCATGGAGGTGGCTGCAGGCTGCGTGGCCCATGGCGGGGGCGGCCAGTGCTGGGCACTGGATGGCTGCAAGGGCAAAGAGGCACACGTGAAGTTGGAGCACGGGGACTGGGAGGATGAACTGTGGGGACCAGAGGACTACGGGGCCCAGGAGCACCCTAGTGTCACCGCAGGCCAGTGAGCCCCTGATCTCCAGCATCAGCCTCTACCTTCACATCGTGGGGATTGCCCAGTCCATTCCCCCACGGCCGTGCACTCGCGGCTCTGCGGCCCCGTCAGCACAAACCCCGTCTGGCAGGAGAAGGCGCACGTGGAGCCGAAGGTGAAGTTGCCATGGAGGTGG